TCGCTTTTTCACGTACAGCTTCGGGCTCGGGCCAGGTTCTGGTTTGTTTTCTAATAAGTCAAAATGAATTATTATTATTCTATGTTTTAAATGTATTTTTATTAGAAATTAGTCATTCATTTTGCACGCTCACTTGCTCGTTCTTTCTCTTGTTTGTGTGTAAAAGTGCCTACCTAGCTAACTTCTTTGCAATGGATGAAATAAAAGGAAAACTCAAAAAAGGGAGAACTACTCAAAATGAGTTGGGGACAGCTTCCTTATGGAAACATTATGACCTTGTGATAACAACGGATAAAAAGGTCGCTGCCAGACACATTGATTTTTTTTGTCACTACAGGTGTCTCCCAGGGCCCTGGAGTGCATCCGAGCCTTCTGGTTGTTGTTCCAGCAGAGCTCTGAACTGACTCAATTGGAGTCGTTAGTTTCTTAATTAGTACAAACTCATGTTGTCTCTAGCTGATTGTTTAAATGTTCCCATGAAAGCTACAGGCCTGTGGCTCCATGGCAGCAGTCCACTTTTTTTCCCCAAAGTTTTTCCAGTCAGTTTTAGTTTGTTTGTATCGAGAAACAGCAGTTTCCTGCGACGACAGGGTCTTGACTTCGTGGACCAGCCCAGAAGACAACTGTTAGTTTGCTCTTCCTCCTGAGGTGTGCACAGGCCCGTTTATCTAGGGGCTGGACCGCACAGAGCGGTGCCACCGGGCCGGTCGGGTCTGAGGGGCGGCCGTGATGACGGTGTGTGCTTGCAGGCCGGTGCAGGGGGGCTGCAGTACGACTCGGCCGTGGTGGAGCACTGCCTGGAGGCCCTGGAGTGGGCCTGCCGCCTGCTGCCCTTCGCCCGCTTCATGAACGCCGAGGAAATCGTGCAAGACCTGGTCCTCAGTCTCATTGGAGAGCTGCCCCCTACGAATAAGGTAACTGACTGACTGGTGAGCCCGCCTGAAGACCATAAACGCAGTTAACGAAGGAGGGAAAAACTGCCGCCTTGGGTTTTTTGTACGTCTTAAATACACACTTTAGCGAGTGCTGGTACGAATCATGTCCTCGATAGATGAAAGTCGAAGGAGCTGATTTCCTGGACTCTGTAATCTGTGGCCCTGAGAAACTGTTCTGGTTGTGGTAGATAGATTGTATGGGACGGCTGGGGGAGAATGTTGTTATTACTGATTGTTCTTGAAAAATCAAACTCAATAAAGAGTGATTCGCACACAAATGTGGGTTCATCTGTCACAAGGCAATGCAGCACAGTCCATAGCTGGGCATTCCAGAGTTTTTTTTTTTATTGAAAACCACAGGAGGGGAGTGAGCTTTTCACTGTGAGCTCGCGTGAGTGAGTGTGGAGCTCGTGGAGATGAGTAGGAAAGTGATCCTTGCCACTCTCACTTTCCCATGGCTTTCTAGTGAGTGACAGCACTAGGCATTACTGTATGTTCTCTCGTTTCCATGGCAGCTGCATTTGTGTGGTCTTCTTCCCAGGTGGCTGAATTTATAGCTAGAGCCTTTCCTGATGAGGAGGACTCGGTCCGGGTTCCTCTCCGAGAGAAGTACAGCTCCCTCCTGAAGCGGCTGCGATGCTCCACTGTCACTGGTACCCCATTTTTATCTCAGTTGCACATACTGCTTACTGCTTAGCTATCCAGACCCCTGATAAAATACTCTAAATCTGTTCTCCTCTTTTAATGCCTCACTAAGTTTAGGTGCTAGTGGGTTTAACTGTTTTTTGATGGGATGTATTCAAAATACATTAAAGATCAAATGGTGAACTAGCAAAAGGAAATGTACTTTTAATTTAATATTTAAATGCCAGTTCCAATTTGCTTTTTATGTACTGTCATGGTTTCGTAAATCCGGGGTTCCCTGATGCAGTTTTTTGAAAGGGTGCCTTATACAAGAAATCTGAGTAAGTGAACAGCTGCGCACCGATACTAATGCTCAGCTTGCTTTGTGTTATGCCTGCAGCATGAGCGAAAGGAAATCCCAGAATGCAACGCACAGAGATAAAGCCACAGCAGAAATGAATTGAGGTGTTCTACACATTGATTAGTTTGTATCAAACCACAGTCGTATGTGGCCTCACTTGTTTCCGTGCTAGATGTTAAAGGGTCACCAAAGGTAGGATTTGTAAATTACTCCATCTGGGCCTCTTGGCTCTGCTGTTGTGTGTCTCAGGCCCTGAGGCTGGAGAGAAGATGATGACAGTGGTCATACAGGACTTCTTGAGACTGAGGAGGAGACAACTGAAGCGGGTGGTGAGGAATATAGGCCCAGTGGAGCTCCACCTGTGGGAGAGAGCTGAGGAGGGGGCAGCCGAGGACGACACTCCCCTCTATGACCGGCTCTCCCTGGGCACCAGCCTGAGCCGTAGCACCCTGACGGACTGCGGCCGGCCCCTGGTCTCCAGCGATGTAGACACAATGGACACCATCTCTGATCCCCTTTCTCCACAACAGAGCCACTTTTCTGGGAAAGAAAATCAGAGGTGAAGACGACACCTTTCCTGTTTTACCTGGCATCTCACGACTTACAAGATTTACACTTCTTAGGTTATCTGCAAGAACTGCTAAATAAATATTTAAGGAAATGCTAAAATAAAGATTTGTGGGAGCCAGCTGAAAGTAACAGCTGTATGTAGCTTCTCCCTTTGATTGGCTCTTGTGTGTAGTCTTTGATCATCCAGAGCCTGTGAAAATTAGTTGTGAATAAACCTTTAACTGTCTTTTGTTCGCAGAAAATCTCAAAGCGCAAAGCAGAAGCCCGATACTTTGAAAGGATCGGACAAGCAACATGAAGAGGTGCAGAGCAAAGGAGAGCTTCAGGAAAGTCCTGCCTTGCCTGTCGTGGGAAGTTGGGAATTCGAGTGCGAGGACGAGGAATATGTCCAATTCCTGGAGCTCTTCCTGAGCTATGTGCTGGAGAAGGACCAGGCGGACAGCAGAGACCCCAGCGTTCCCTTCCTCAGCTGCTTTTCCTCACTACTCAGGGAGAAGGAGCTCACCTCTCTGGTCTTCGACGTTCACACCACGCTCAAACGCCGCCAGAGTCGGAGGAACGGAGGAGGCAGCGTCTTCAGGCCTGGCAGCTGCTACCAGTGGCTCCCTGAGCCTCTCCACTCTGGGGGACCCCCGGCCTCGGTGCACAGTGAGGCCTGGAGCATGGAGTCGGGGCCCTGCGCCTTGAGGAGCAGCCTCGGCAGTGCTCTCCATTTCCCTGGCGCCCGAAAACCAAAGCAGAAAGGTCTTTTTGGCCTCAAGCAACAAGCTCTCCTGGAGGCAAGAAGCAGCGCCAGGTCGGGTTCAGAAGTGAATCGGACCCCGTCAGAACCCCGCTGCTCCCCCGTGGCCGGAATTGCTAAGCCCGAAGGCTGGCTTTTCAAGGCCGTTTCTCCACAGGATCCTCCCACGGAGGCCCCCGACCCGGAACTGGAACCCCGGTTCCGGGTCCTCGGCAGGCCGTTGGAGTGGATGATCCGCTGGTCGGACCGGCGGCTGCTGTGCGTGCCCACCAAGGCCCCGCGGCCTCCCGAGCGCGGAGCGGCGATCCGAGTGAAGACCTCGGCCCCGGCGGTCCTCGCCGCCCTGCGCCTGCTGGAGCGGAGATACACTGCAGGCCTGCTCCTGGAAAAGCCCTCACCCTCCCCGGTAAACATGAGGCGGGGGTGTCCTCAGCAGGACAAGCTTTGTGTTGTCCAGTCTTGTGTTCTTGCAACCGTCTTCCCGAACCTCAGTCTCGCAGGCTTCGCTGTTAGCTTACGAGCTCAGGCTGAATGACCTCCAGAAGTCATGACTCTCGAGGACTGGAGATCGGGAGCACTGGTGTAATCCCTCTGTCCTTTTGCGGTCGCTGTTTTTAGTTTGGGCTTGTGTGTGCAAGCCTGATTTCAGCGATAAGAAGCAGATACTTTTTAGAAAAGGCTACCAGTAGTAAAGTCCAATTGTTCAATATCAGGTCACTTACATCTTGAACAGAAATAGGGTGGACTTCCTCACACAGCGCTTTGTGCTCTTAAGTCATGTGATGGGCTGAAACGTGTATGCTTGTAACGCCTTTGTTGGCACTGCACAGGTTACTTTATTGTTATTATGTTGCTGTATTTACTGTAGATTCAACTCGGGGACATCATTTTCAAGCAGAGGTTTTTTCCAGTATGAAACCTGTTGATATTTCAATATCTTACCTCTATGAGTTTTAGCTGAAGCCATGGGTGACATTCAGACATAACCTTGAACTTTAAATCGGGAGCATAGTGCTGTGTGTGGGTTTGTTTCCAGCTGTGTGGTTATTAGGAACAACTTTTGGGGCAGATTACTAGGTTGTAAGCCCTAGTGTCAGAGTGTTAAAGAGCATCCCCTTACAGGATGGCCGCTCAGCCATGCTGGACTGGTTGATTTAACCTTCGTATTTCCTTTTTTGTTCATCTGCTGCGATTGCAAAATACGTGGTCCGCATTTTTTACTATTATCTGTGTTTTGTAGAGGGAATATAAAGCAACAACACATTTTCTTACTTTAAAAGTTGTGTATCGAGGTAAAAAGGAAGGGATTGGGATGGGTGTCTTTTATGGCATGTCACTCTGTGATCGTGAGCACTGTCATTTTTTGTAGATTGATGGTAGGAGGCGAAAAAGCATTGAGAGACCATGCCCCCCACCCCATGTTCCAGAGCAGAGGTACACAGTAGCGCCAGTTGTTCTGGCGGAGATGAACTGGAAGGCCGAGAGGGAGAGCAGTGTGGACACAGGCTACCCTGGCTCTGCTGGGACCCCCATCACCATACTGGACCAGGAGCCTCAACACAGTGAAGTGTCTGAGTGAGTAAAGCTCAGGGGTAACCTGGCACTGTTCTCCTGTACTTCCTGAAAAACTGAGATTTGTGGGGGAAATAGTAAATCAACCATTAACTTTATCTCACCTGATGTGTCATAAGTACAAAGGCTTCATATTTCAAAAGACGTAGATTGAGAAACCTGCGTTCGTAGTAGAGATTTGCAGCTTGAGCGTTTCTAGGGTGAGCTCCGGTAAATGGAATTCTCGGACGGATTCTAGAACTCTCCCCTCTGTTACTCATCGCAGAGCGTCAGGCCTGGGGGACACTGTTGGAGAGATGGAGAGAGACGAGGAGCCGCCTCGCGAGGATGAGCTGGAGGAGATGCTGTCTGATTTGGAGAGTACAATAGACAGAAACATGCCTGAAGGAGAACAGGATTTGCCCTCTGAACGGGAAGGTAGGTTGGGGTCTCAAGGCAGTTAAACTCAAGGACAGGTAACACTGCATTTATTCAATGTACAGTGTGCCACAGTAGGAAGGGCTGAGCTTAGCTCTTGCTTAAAACCTTTTTTGTTTACCCGTTGAAAGAATCTTTTCCCTAGTTCTTAGCTCTTTTACAAAAGTGGGAGCTTTAAAGTTGTAAATTGCACAGGCGACTGCTTAAATTGCTGGAACTAATTTAACGTGGCCTAAATGAATCATTAATTGACATAACTTGGAGCTCAGCTGGAAATTAGACAGAAACAGTGTGCTCCTTTTGAAATGGCTTTAGGAAGGGTGGGTGAGAGGTTCTGGTTTGCATGCCCAGTTCGGACAGAACAGCGCTGTGTTCTGGTGTGCAGGAGGCAGCAGTCCTGAGGATGGGTGGGAGCCCCCTGACCCAGCTCTGACCACCCCAAGCATCTCTGTCCACATCAAGACCATTCCCCGGCCAGGCTCTGCACTCCAGGACAGGGTGAGTGTGATCAATGTACACTCCTGCTTGGCTCTTTTAAGGCCAGAGAATCTGTTGTTGTTCGCTTGTCTGGTTAGCATAACTGCTCTAGATGAGGGACAGCCCCATCCTAAACATGCCTCCCAGATCTGAGACTGCAGATATGGCAGTAAGCGCCTGTTACCACAGCAGTGTGCAAGGGCCTTGACTGCATCTGCTGTTCTATAAACATTTTCTGGACTCTTATTTAGTGACCAAAAAACATAACTTGACCTTGCACTTCATATCTGCTACTGGAATATACAAACTAAGATTGTATCCACTGATACATTTAGCCCAAGCTGGCTGGTGTTTGCTTGTACTGTAGCTCTTTCATCTGGGTGAATGAGTTGATAATTACCGTGATGGCCTAAGAAAGTTATTACAGTCCTATCCTGGGTGAAGAGTGGCCAATGAGCTACACTTCACTTCTCTGTCCAGCTGTGATTGTAGGGAGGATGCTCAAAATACCAAGAAATATCTGTAACTATCAAACATATCCATCTTAATGATGGCATGAATGCCTGAAGAAGCCTTACTGTAATTACTTGTATAGTGGTGAATGTAAAATTGATTTAAATTTAGACAAAATAGTCCTTTATTAAAGTAAGAAAATGCAGAAAGAGACCAATTCTTTTGCATTATTTTTTTGTAAAAGGAGGATTTAGAGCTATGTCATTAGAATTGTTCAGAGATGTCAGACAGGTTAGCTCAGAAAGGCTCAGTGTGGATGGCTATGTACTGGAGTTGTAATGGCTACATGCAGTGTAAAGGGTTCACATTTTCTTTTCCAGACTCTGAAACTCTCAGACTTGGAGAGTCCAAGATCTTATCCTGCAGAAGGAGCACAGGACAAGAGAGTGGTGTCCTGGTGAGTGTGCTGAGAAAAAGCCAACGCAAAACAAATGTTGCTAGGAAGCCTGAGGTGCAGTCATTGAGTGTTTCTTTCAAACAATGACTCGCTGATTGGTTGCCTTGGGGAAATTGTAAACACAGTATAAAGTTGCTAGTGTAGTGGCTTTCTGTACAGGACTCTTTACACCGAAAGGGCTCAGTTTCCTGTTTGGTAGTTAATTAGAACTTCTTTTGACGATTCTACTTCCTGTTCTTGAGTAATGCGACTCATCTCATCTGTCTCCTAACGATGGATTCCTAGGACCGAAGAGGCAGACACCCAGGAATTACCCAGCATGCCAAGTGACGTACCTACAGACTTGCTGGCAGTACTGGCAGCATCAACGTAAGTGCGGTGATGCTGAGCTTTCCTCAAAGAGATGTTTGTATGGGTAGTGCTTGAGGCACTATAGATTCACAGGGCACTTTTGTGCAGATAAGCCAGGACTCATAGCTAAAATAGGCCAACAACCTAAGACTTGCAGAAATATGCTTGTCTCCGGAGGCTAATTAATGGTAGTTCTGATCCATTCTTTTGCTTTTCCACTGTTGGTTAGAAGGTATTTGCAGTCTTTTTAGATGGCACAGTACAGTATATTTGGAACCTTTAGTCATTGAAGGTGCCATATGTACAGTACAGTTCTTGGACATGAACAAGAATTAAGCCCTGACAGCGTTTCTCACTTCTTAACACAAATACCACTCTTACCAGCCTGGACGGGATAATCTGTATGTGTACCACATTCTTACCTCCTTTGTCCAGTGGCCTGAAGCTCCTTGCTTCCATCTCTTTCTGTGTCAAGTGATGAAGTTCGGTGCAGGCACTCATAAGGCATATTGGGCTATCTGTATGGGTTACAGAAGACACACTACTGCATGTGCTTTCACTTGGACATTGTGTATCATTTTTACCCCGTACGCATTGTTTAAATATGTCAGATTTCTATTCTGCGTTCAAAGTTTTTGCCAGTTTTCCTCTTTCAGTTTCTAAGTGACATGGCTCCTGTTTCTCTCAGATGAAGATTTTCTTCTGTTTGGACTCACCTCTTTGAATACCGTCTGGAAAATTAAATACAAAAGAATAGATGGCAGTCCTGTCAGAACTTTTTCTGTATTTTTCCCAGTGCAACCAGCGAAGAAGTTCCACCCACAGTCTCTACTGTCCAAGCGAATGTTCCGTCAATTCCATCATTGGGCCTACAGCCTGGGCCTCCAGTAAACTCTATCCCTCCCAACTCAGACCAGCTCTTGGGGAGCAACCCAGGCACTCAGCCCCTCCCTCAGTCAGATGCCATCAGGCAGCTGCTCCAGGATGAGATGTTCCGGCTTGTGCAGGTGAGTAAAAACACAAAGGGAAATTAACTCGGCAAGAACGAAGTGTCCACATTATCTTTAAAGAACCTGGACTTGTCTGTCATGTGTTCACAAATCCCTTTTCTCTTGTGTACTTACTTTGTCCCCGTTTCGAATGGTTTTGGAAATTTTTCAAATATCTTTGTGCAATGTCTTGTGAGGTGCAGAGGACGGGCTATTATGCATCACCTCTTGCCGCTTATAGTCCATAGCCAAGTGAGGCTGGAAGGGAAGTCTAGTCGGGTGGGGGGGCAAAGGGGGCGGCCGCACAAGGCTCCCCAACCCCTCCAATCCTCACTCCCGCTTCACACACACATAAAAATATAAATCCATGTTTAAATATTTTAATGAAGCAACATAAAACTCGAGATGAAATCTAACATTAGTGGGAAAACAGATGCTTTATTCAGATCTGGAGGCGTGTTCCGCACTCACTACGCCATTGGCCATCAGTTGCCAGCTAAAAGTTATTGCAGTATAACTAGCTTGGAAAAAGAGTTAGCTGTTGGAAAAATAGTGAGCACAAGCAGAGATAGGGGCAGATTTCGAAATTACTACAGTGGGTGTGAGACAAGAAGAAAGACGCAGAAGAGGGAGGATGCAAATGTGGCACTTAAAGGGTCTTTGGAATGGTTCGTTGTGAAAACCAGGAGAGAAGAAGAAATTAACACTAGTGTTGATCTCGACGACGACAGGGATACTGGCGTTATGACACCTGAAGGTACCGATAGCATTAGCAACAACGGCATTCAGTAGTTGTGTTCAGTCCTGTATGTCTGTTTGCGCAGGCCAGTTAGGGAGCTATTTCATCACCTCAGCGCTGCTCCCTGCCGGCACCACTACACACAAGAACCCTCCCACCTCTTGAGACGGCCCTGGGTCTAGTACAGTATATGTCCTTGGATTTTTTTGGGGCATCCTTCACTCTTCTTCTTATAAATTGTTCAAAGGTTTGATCAAATCGTGGGGCAGAAAAGCCCAAGGAAAATGGGACGTATGACCCTGAACTAATGTGAATCCATGTCCCATGCCCTCTGCACATACTGTACATAAGCCCGAAAGCTCCGGCTCGTTTGAGAACTAACAGTTCCAGTCACAAAGGAACAGTGCATTGCTGTGTATGTGGTGCTCCGAGTCGTATACACTCTTGTTTTACTTTGTCTTTGATCCACAGTTGCAGCAGATCAATTTCATGAGTCTCATGCAAGTGGTGGGCGCCTCCTTCACGAACCTCCCACATCTGCAGCTTCACCTGCAGCCAAACGCACCTGCAGCTCAGAGTAGCCGAGGGCCTGGAGCTCAACCAGCTGGGCTCGGCTCAGACGAACCGGGCCCAGAGACTGCGGGTCAGTCTGCAGGTGACAGGCCCAGCGGCCAGCAGCCGGCTCCCACGGAGAGACGAGCCCAGAACATCGAGACTGATCAGAGTAACAAAGAAAACGTTGCACAGGTAAAGAGCTTGTGAGGCATGCTGGTGGGGGAGTCAGGAAAACAGAATTGTTTTCTGAAACTAGTTGCTTCCGTTTGTCAGGACCTATGCGTTGGGACAAGTGTTAAATTAAGGCGCAAACTCGGAGTGTTAATTATTGAGACATGCAGCTAATTCGCCTCTGACCTTTGCCCCTGATCAAAGATGAGCTTTTGATGGATACGACTTGGAAACAATGAATACAAGAAATGGCAAAGCTGGTCATCCTTGGTGGCTGAACTGGTACAGGCAGGAGAACCCTTTGATCCAGACATTGCAAGTTTTATCCCTGGCTGTATCACCAGCCAGCTGAGACCGTTACTCACCGACTGGAAGTGCACAATCGGCACAGTTGCTGTATGTGGGGGTGGGATTAGATGAGTGGACCTCAGTGACATCGTGCATCGTGATGTCATGCCTGCGTGAGAGACATGCTGTGTGGTAGCATTAGTGGAACATGTCTTATTCTTTCCCAGCAGGTGCAGACGGCAGAGCTGAGTCCTCAAATCTGTTGTCCTCTCTGTGCAATGTCACACGTCACAGCTAGCAACATGATTCAGCCTCTAAACCCTGACCTCAGAGCTAAGCCCACCACTGACCATCTTATTCGTTGTATGACTTCTCTTTTACGGCGGCTGTTTTTCATTTCAGAATCCCACTGAGCTCAGTCTTCACTTGGACGCGCGAGGATGCCAGGGGGGGAGTGAGGGTCTGATCCCCGCCTCTCGTGGCCTGCTGAAGACCGCCAACAATAGCAGCCATGGCCTTCCGCTGCTACTGCCCCTATCGGGTTCGCGTGAGACCCCAACACTGATTCCCCTGGAGAAGACCTCTGCCCCTTCTGCCTCCTCCTCAGGGCTCAGGCTCCTCAGGCTACAGCCTCAGCAGCTGCTCCAGCCTGGAGATACTCCTGTTGTAAACCTCTTTGCTCCTCTCCTTCGGTGCTCAACACAGACCCAACCTCCTCCTCCTCCTCCTCCTCCTCCTCGAGAGGCCTGGGCCCTGCGTTCCAAGGAGCACCAAAAGCGGAGGGACGTGGCTCCACCCCCAGCTCACTTAAACATCAACCAGTACGACCCCAAGGCCCTGAGGACAGCTGAGGAGCAGAAGGTTAGGTGGGCCGAACGAGTGACTGCAGGGCCTCCTAAACACCTGATCCTGGAGCAGTACGCTGGAATCCCAGACACCAACCCTCTGCCCCAAGCGCGGCCTACTCCAACCCATCCCCACAGCCTCGACAGCCAAGCAGGGAGACTGGCGGGGGGTCCCCCCGTCTCTGTGCCTCCACAGCCCCATGCCCCCCACCAGGCGCGTGGTCTTCCTCTCCTGCGTTTCCACCCTGCTGTCCACCAGCTCCCGTCCAGCTGCATGCTCCCCCAGATCCTGCCCCCTTCACAGACCGCTCCTCTGCAACCCTTGACCCCTAGCTCTGGACCCTCAGAGCACTATCCCAGCATCCCTTTGCTGCAGGTGCAACCCCCGCCACTGAGCAAGGTACAGTTTTTTTTTCCTAATACTGAGAAAAATATATGATGGGAACTGTCCAGGGTCAGAGCTTTTTTTGTGTTTTTGAATCGAAATCACTTCAGAAGAGCTCTGGTTCATCCGGCCACAAAGTCCAGTGGGTTTTCTAGCTCGTAATCTGTCAGAAGCTTAACAACCCAAGACCCCATGGCCCTAGAGTTTACCACATCAAGCAAGAGTTTGAAATACCCAGTGCGTTCACCTCAGCACTTTTTTACAGGCATTAATAAACCTCCTGGGGACACAAAATGTTGTATTACTCCTACAACCTCTGATCTTCACTGTTGTCCATTGATATTGTTGGAAGCAATAGTGGAAAAGAAGCCAGAAGTAATTCTTTGCGAAAGTTGTTCATGAGAGGTTAATAGCTTTTGTATAAAACGGTGATATTACCTAATATGTTCTACACCTAAAATCTAAGGCATACAGCAGTGTCATTTTTTTGTCAAGCAATCCATGGGACTGTTACAGCACCTCAGGGCCTAGAAATGTATAATCTGTAATATTGTAAAATTTTAAATATTTGGTGAGCACTATTCTCACGCAATGAGCATAGTTTTACCTAACGAGGGCTTCTCCTGCTGTCCGCCTTCATGTTTTCCCTTCATTGTGTGCAGCCCTGATGTGAGTGTGTGAAGCTCTCACTGTTGACAGCACAAGTGATTGAGAGGAGAACCCCAGTGATCCAAAACTGAGATCTTCAGAGTATCGTCTCTGTGGGAGGGGCAGCGATCCAATCGAGGTCTTCTCAATGCCTTGCTGTACAGGTGCTTTTACACGAGCTCAAAAGGCCCTTGCACGTTTGTAGCCTATCTGAAACCTTTGCTGAGGAGAGGAAGCAAAAAAAGAGATAAAGCAAAGGTTTCTGAGCAGCTCCAGCACACTGTATAAGACTGTACGGTGGTCTTACAGCTTGTAGCTTGAAGTGATTGTCACTTTTCATGGGTTACCTGACAACAAGTGACATTGTGGAGTGGCACATTAATGCTTTATTAGGTTTCATTTCATTTTTCCACAAAAGCTCTTTAATGCGTCTTCATAAAAGTCTACATTTTCCTGTTTACATATTATTTTAAATATTGCGTGTCTGTATGTTTAGCTCCGGTATGACTTCAGCAGTGTTGTGGGTGTGCACAGTCGCGTTGGATGTCTAAGCTGGTAAAAATATAAGTTGACAAAGCTGACGCAAACATGTGAAATGCAAAATCGGACCACATATTGAAGGACGAAGCACTTGGAATGAGACTGGGGTGCAGTAGTGAATTTAATTTGAAGAGAGCCAGCTTCGCTTTCGCCTTCAAAGACTCACTGATGTTTGCCGGAAGTGTCTGCGCTTCTTCTTGTAGCCAGCTGAGTTTCACTGAAGCACGAGGCCCCTCTGCGGGGTGGCGGCGGCAGTCGAGCCAGTTAAGCAGGTGACCAGAACCAGCTGAGAGCACCAAGGCGTCCCTTGCTCATTTTCCCCCCGCTTCTCCTGTCCCCCTCCCAGGTGTTCCCACAGACCCTGCCCTTCCAGCCTCCACGGCTCATCCCGCTGCAGCAGCTGGCTTCCCTTGGCCCGAGCCGGCGGCCGGGTGCCCCCGGGAGAGCCCAGCACGGGCAGCTGCAGCTTCTGCAGGCTGGCGAAGAGCCGCTCCGCAGAGACTGGGGCCGGGAGTCACTTAAAAGGTGGGAGCCCTTCCTGACCTTCTCAAAGTCCCAGTCCGCCATTACTGTAAGGCTGTCCAGTGCCAATGAGGGTGACATACCAGGGTTCCTGCTGTTCAACATATACGTGTGTATATGCTTGTACGGACATACAGTATGTCTATAAATATACATATATACATAAGTAATAGGAGAGTTACAGAATTTTAGTAGGTTGCAGATTGCAATGTACTGTACAGCACAGCGGTTTACATGGTAATCCAAAGCTCTGGCATAATAAACAATCATAGAAGATTGAGTATTCCCACAGGAAAATGAGAACAGTAGTGCATTTGTGTCTAATGTTTATTTTTGCTGGAACGTTTCAGCTGTGATGCAGTATGTTTTCAGGGTATTCGAGACACTCTGAAAGCTGGAAAAATTGAAGTTTTGTTGAGGCAAATGATGAAAGCTGTTCTGGTCTTGTACAGGCGGCAGCCTCTGGTGTCCCTGCTGCCATGGTTTTAAGTCGTTCTCGCTGTACGTCAGCTACTGAAACACAAACAGTGGAACCCAAGAAAGAACAAAGTCAGCCAATAGCTTCAGAACAGCCGTTGAGTCCATGAACGCTTTGAGCTGCTTGGCTGCAGTACAGTGACATTTCGCGACCTTTTCAGATGACAGGCCCCTTTCCCATTGGCGCATAGATGCGTTTCAGTAGTGCTCGTGTCCCGTTCCTCCTCCTTCACAATGGTTTCTTTCTCCACTGTTTGCCAAAGTGCTGTGGTGTTCATCTACAATCAGCCTGTGTGTTTCTTACCTTTCGATGTGATGACAGTTGCTTTCGCTTGCAGGCAAAAGCGAATCTTATCTGTATTTAAAAAAAGCTTTGGTGCGATACGCAAAATTGCTGTCTTTGCTGCCGAACTATAACTCTCCTCCGTACCGTTTCTTGCAAAGCTTTTTAAAATGAGAGTTCCATCATTAATTATCTTTAATCCTGAGGTAACTGAGGTAAGCAAGTCTGGGACTCCTGCTCATCAGGCGCTGTGAAACTACCAGGCAAATCGGTGTGAGAAAGGCCGGTGGGGAGCTTGTTCTTTATTGCGGGATACAGAAGAATTGCATGACGGAAAGAAGGGAGCGTGGGAAGAAGCAGTGTGCAGCAGCTTCTAAAAGAAGGAGAGGAGAGGCGGTCACGTTCTTTTTGTGTACTCCGGCAAGGCGTGTGGATCAATACCCCTGTCCTCCAAGTTGGCATTGATTTTTTTTATTTCTGTTTTTCTGAAACAGACAGAAGAGGCGTCGGGAGAGGGCACAGGAGGGCCGCAGTGCTGGTGTCACGTTCCGGCCAGAGGACTCCATTATCCCCCCCGAGGAGGTACAGGCGCAGGAAAGTGCCGCAGCCCCTCTGTCAGCTCAGTCTGTTGTGCCCTGGGGGAAAGAGGAAGAGAGTAGGAACTCATAATGGCAAGATGGTGGCGAAGCATTGACCAGTAGAAACCGTTAGTTACCCAGTGCCTTTAGTGAAGGTAGCAAAGCAAGAAAAAAAAACTCAGCATCGTTATCCCCATATTGAAGACAGCAGACATGATTTAAAGGAATAAAAAATTGTCAGAAGCGGACGAAAGGTCCAAATGTTTTCAGCTGTGAAATTGAAGGGTGCTTGGCTTCCTTGGCAGATGGTTCGAGTTGTTAAGCGTGATTTGTGCTGTGGGAAGCAGCTTCAAAGCAAAGTAATAGCACTAGTGATTAACATGTTCATGGGTGCAGGTTAACGAAGGTCACTCTTCACAACAGAAGGACTGAATGGACCAAACCTGTTGCAAAATTATTTTTTTAGTGGTTTGCTTCTTATCAAACAGTGTTGAACTCTTTTTTTTTCCAAACTCGTGTATAGAAAATTCCTATTGAATGCAGAAATCCACCCAAATTGGTAGGTCTTCTGGATAGTCACACTCTTGCTTCTGTGGTCTTTGCTGGTGGGTGGTGTCCCTACATCAGTCACAGTGTGCTCACAGTGCTGTCAACCGGAACCCACATGCAGTGCTTTTGGTAATATAAGATGTGACCTGCAGAGGCTTGGAAAAAGTCATCTTCCTTGGCGAATTACTCGACAGCTTCATTGTGTTATGGTCTTGTGAAAAGCAGATCTTAAATTTCTTTTGAAAAAACACTGCTTAATTTCTTAACAGATTTCAATTAAGCTTTTCCCCACTCTGTCCCAACATTTAACATTGTTTTTTTCAGAAGCAAATCCATTAAACTAACATTGCGACCAGAAGAAGCTTTTTGTTTTTCCCTGAAACTGGCCATGGTTTTAGCGTGCTGCTGTATTTGTATTCCGAGAGAATAATTGACCATTGTTTTCTGTGCCTTTTAGCCAAAAGAAGCTGAGCCACAGCAGTCTGAGTTAGGAGAGGGTTTTGTCATTCCTCCTGGTGAGTTAAAGAGAAATTCAGTGGCCATCAAATTAGTCGATAAAATCGTGAATGGAAGAAATCAAAAGAGGAAAGACTGAAAATCTTTTCAAACATATTTCAGCTTTTAACAGGGTAATTTGGAATTAGAAACTAACTCTAGTCTAGGTTTTTGCTTTCTGATCACATCTCAGTGACCTGGTGGAATTTAAGCTGCTGAGCCCATGCATAATTTACAATGCTTATTGCATGGGCATTTGACACAGTACAAGTTCTGCCTGTGGAGTGGAATGGCAGCTCAGCAAGAGCTGTTTAAACAGGTGTACAGTTGCAACAGGTGAAGACAAATTGACCAGAGGCCCTTTGGCTAAATTCCAAACACAGCACAGCTTAAAGCAGAGTGTTCAAGGGGAGAACAGTCCCTAAAGAACCACACAATTAAGAGTTCAGGAAGCCTTGGATTTTTGGACCAAGGAGGAATTAAGGAGGAATATAAACTGGAAGACAGTGTGGTTTGCAAGGACCAAGATTAATATCTAATGCTTTAGATTTTCTGCCCTTAAATTGTATTTACCCTCCTGATTTACTTTATTTAGGGCTTTTTGTAAGTATGTTTATTAGAATTTTGGTATTGTTTTTCTCCCTTAATTGCTTGCCACGCACAGAGAGAGAATAAACTCCACTGTCCACTGAGGTGCAAGCTTGGGGAGAAGGCAGATTCAGCTCCGTGCTTACAGCAGCTCTTCCTTCTGCTTTCCCCAGGCTCATTCGACTCCCTGCTTGCAGGAGTAGAGCCGACCACAGGGCCTCTGTCCACAGCAGCTGAGCTTCATTGCTTTGCAGCCACAAAGAAGAGACCGCCACAGATACAGGACGCCAGTACCAACACTGAGCCAGGTACAGCGGTGCCCCCTCTGGGTGCACTTAACCCTCCTGTTGCACTTCTGGTTTAGGACAGCATTACTCTTACCTTGACTCTCAGGACCCTCAGGACAAAGCTTGTGTCCTTTTCAAAACTAAAACTCAATAATGCTTGAAGCTGTTTTTACTTTTTTTTCCATTGCATCTTAGTCTCTGTTGAAAATGTGGAACGAATCATTGGCCAAATAAGTTTTCATTAAATTTGCACAGGCAGTATCTCTGTTTGTGGCACCTGTTTCTCTGTGAAGAATCATACTCTTTTCTACTGACTCGAGATTTGCTCTCTCTGTCTTTCTGTGCCTGTAGTTTGTCCTCGTTTGCTTGCTGATAAAGGAACTTCTGCACATTTCCTGGTGCCACAGTCCGACACTGCAGTCAGTAAGTGTGGTCCAATGCCCTTGTTTTTTTCCAGCCCGGTCAATCTTTGTCAGGGAAAAACCCATGACAAACATTGTAAAGGCATATTTTTCAATCTGAAAATATTTTTAAATTTGTCAGATTTCATTGGCTTAGGTCAGAGTTCATGGAAGGCAGGAGAAGAGCTAAACTTGAGCTTCAGGGCAGGTGACCAGCCCATCTTTGTTGCTCTGCTAATGGATCGTATATTCAGCTCAGCATTGCACCCAGTTCCCTTTAACGATTAGAATATGATGGCAGTCTGTTAGCTAAATCTGGAGCAAAATGGTTTCAGGCCAAGCAGCGTGCCTAATTGCTCATTTCCACTGTGAAGAATGGCTGCTCTTGACCGTCTGGGTGCAGGCTGTGTGCTGTTTGAATAAAACGCCTGGCTTTTTGACTTTTTGTATGAACTGAATCTGTGCCTAAAAGCAACAATGTTTTCAAACAGCTTGTGGACCCCCAGCAGA